AGAAACATATGGCTATATTACTGATAGGATTAGAAAGTTACATTTTCCCAGTGGACAGTGTTGACTTTTGACAGCTACAGGAGCCATTGGAAAATAAATCTGAATACATTGACAGTAAAAAAATAATTTAAAAAAAACCCATACCACTTTCTTTTCCATTATACATTTTGATTTTAAAATATGTAAGTTTTCAAACTAATTTTACTTGAGCTTGAGATAATGCTACAGCAAACCAGAAATGGAGAAAAAAAAAAAAAGTTCCAGCCCCATACTGTAACCACGTCAGACATCAACAATGTGTGGAAACAATTAATGGGACACAGACATCTACAAAGCCATTCTAAAATCACAACTAGCCAAAGTTGAAGGGGAAAAAATACTCTTAAGGAGGAGGAGATAAAAAAGGGACCAAAACAATTTATCTCCATTTAAAATGGAGGCGTAGATCATTATGGCAAGTGTGGCTATGTTAAGAAAGAAGGCTTCTAACTTTTTTTAACCAAAGATCTACCCAAGTGAACAGGAACACAGCACAACTTTGATCGGCTACACATGAACAGCTTTTGTTTTAATTCTCCTATGTACTATTTATAAGATGTATGGCAGAATCGTTATTATATTATTTTTTATACACAAGATCATTAATAAATATGTTCTCAACTGACAAAAATAACGGCACCAATCCAAATTTGATCTCATGGGCAGCTGGGCAATCACAGATCTCCAAAATACAAAGCTTAACAATAAAAGAGGGAAGAGAAAGAAAAAAAAAAAAAAAAAAAAAAAAAAAAAAAAAAAAGGGGAAAAAAAAAAAAAAAAAAAAAAAAAAAAAAAAAAAAGGCAAAAAAACTAGTTTAAAAAAAAAACAAATATGCTGACGATTCTGCTGGCGTTAAAAGCATCACTACATTTAAAATGTGCTACAAAGTTATGCAGACTGAAACAACACAATATGCATTAGCTGTTAAGACTCACATAAATCCAAAATAAATGAATACATGGATACATTTAGTGAAATTAACCTTTGCACAAAATAAGCACTTTAATGTAGTAATGATAATTGCTTTATAAAAAGGCAAACAAAATGCTTACGAGTAGAGGCTGATGAATAGGCTGTCTATAATGAAAGTGAACTTTGCAGTAAGGTCAGTGTAAATGAATAACAATGTGACAAAAATGTCAATAGGAATGAGTTCAGTGAAGAACTTCCAATCTTTCATTCACAAAGCAACATGTTCCAACCACATGTGCCAAAGCTTACAGACAGAAAGAATTCTGGGTGCATTTACATCCCAATTCCTCTGAATGCTGAACAGATCAGTAACCATGACTTTTAATGTACGATATAGCTTTTTATATGGACTGGACCAATACAGAAGTTGTACTTGATACAGAAGTGATCATACTTGAAATACCTTATGACCTTTCAAGTATGTGTTGTATTTTTTCCTTCACATAGACTCATGGCTAAAAAAAAATTAAAAAAACCTTAATCTTTTTCATCAAGGAGTAGAAACTATACAGCCACAAATGCAGTTCAGTGTTCTGAATGCACTAAGACCCACTATTGTAACATTTTAGGATTTCTACTATATATTGTAAAGTGATCCCATAAGGGAAAACAAGTTTCTCCTGCGTTTGTAGGCATGATGTGGAGGGTAATTACAAGAAACTAAAAGCTACGGGTGCTCTGACTCAAAGAAATATGTAGGTCAATTGTAATAAATCTCCACCTCTATTTCTGGTACAACTGGGATAATGAAGATCCTGTGATAAGCAGCTTTGACAAGCCATAGCCTGGTGGTATATTACAATTTAATAATTTCTATATTAAAAAGTAAAAATGTAATGCATGTCATAAAAAAAAAATGTTTTCCTTTGAAAACACAGTAGGCCTTCACTCCAGGTATAGAGTTATACCGAGCTGTAAACCTTAAGCTTAATGATTTACCTTACTTTTTTGAGATTGTCTTAGGTGACACCAGAATTGATGGTGACAATTCTCCATTTACCATTCTGATTAGTGGAGTACGTGGGCATAGCAAGTGACAGAAAAAAAAAAACACAACACATTGATGAATATTAATATACCGAAGGCCATATCAAGATACGCGTGTACAATAAATAGATCCACTGAATTTGTAACTATTTGATTACATAACTAATAGACTAGAAGACAGCTGAAACAACAAATGCAAAAAGGGGAACATGCATATTGATTATAGGACCTTGAATTCTGAACATTACTATATAAACCGTGAAGGCTAGGTCCGCTCACTAGTTTTTGTCTGTCATCAGTTACATAAGTGAGGGTATGCCCTTTTAATGATCACTCAAAATTAGTGATACATACAAATCTTTAACTTTTGTGACACAAAAGGTTAAAAAAAAAAAAAAAACCCCACACTTAAAAAAAGTGACTGATACAGATTGCCATAAAACAAAAAACAGCCTGGCATATTCATTTCAACAGAAAGATTTAGAGCCAGAAGTCGAACACTGAAATCATCTACCATGTTGTTGCTTTATTGGATTATATTTTACTATTGCTAACCTATACAATAAGGCCGCAGATCCTTGAAATATCTATGTTGACAGAAGACTTACGTGCATGCACACAACTACTGTCCATGTAGATACTCATAACGGGAGCTAACCGCACACAAGACACAATTTACAGCATGAGTATGCAGTGCTAAACAGAAAAAAACCCTTTATACCAACCCCATACTATTTACTGGCACATTCAATAGGCAAATATTTTTGTAAATGACGGAAGTAGTGTTTATAAAAGTCAGACTGATTCTTGATAAAAGGTTTATTACAAAAACCGACAGCAAGGAAGCCTTCAGTTGCAAACAGACGCAGGATCTAAACACACAGCGAGCTTAAATTATTTAGTAAAACATACATAATATATATCTCGAGACTGTCACTGTACAAAACTATTATGCAGTATATTAAGCACAAATGCAACGTGTTGTATTAAAACACATAACAAATATAGTGACTTATGTGGGGTACACTGCTAAAACTTAAATGAAACCATTGAGCCCATTCACACAAAAAAAAAATACATTTGAAGAAGAAAAAAAAAAAAAATCATTGTATGTACAGTGTATTTGTATATGATCTGCTGGTTGTGTTTAAACTGGATTCTAAAAGAAAAATACATGTGACAAAAAGGCAATGCTTAATCTGCCACATAACTGTAACAGTCAGACAAAAGTTTAATGGAGTACAGGATGAAGATAGAAAGGAAAAAAAAAAAAGAAGTTGCAGTAGCAGGCTCTCTCTTGTATCTTTAATTCCACTCTTAGTCCTTGGTTAATGAGGTAGAAGCACAGCCACTTTGAAGTGACTCTCCCCAGTAAGAAGTACAGTGAAAGGGTTAACTGGTGGTAACGTGCTGCAATTCTACACTCCAGAGCAGACTCTAGCATTCCAGAGGGCCTAGCACAGCTTTCAGTGCAACCACAACAAGCCACCCTTTGTCCTCCTCCTCCCCGGGTAGTCTCTCCTTTCTCTCACACACATACACCAGGTCCAGCACGCTGCCCTGACCATTTCATCAGACAGCCTTAAGCTACAGGCTGTGGCTCAAATGGCAGATTTTTGGTAGTACCATCGTGCAGCCAAGATCGCCGCCGATTGTTAGCAATTGCCACACACACGGTTGCACATAGCAGCAACCGATCGTGCGATCGGTAGCAATTCATCACTATTAAGTGTCAGACTACAACGTTCCCTATCGATCAATAAATCGCAAGCGGCCGAATTTAGCAGCACTATTGCAGTACCAAACAGTCAAGCATATTTGTTTTATACATAGCTGAAAATCTAAAATAATAACCAGAAATAAAAATATGATAATGTATCAGAAGGCATGTGACTGTAAATACAGGACGGCACACAAGTTAACCCCAGCACATTTTTTTGTGTGTGATAAGAAGATAAGGGGGGCAGAGTGTGGTCAGTAGCAGGCGATGCCCTGGCACAGAAGGGCACTAGGCAAGCAGCTCACTGTACTGCTTCCTCTCTCTTTCTGCTCCTACACGGCTTCCCCTGTACAGACTCCTGCAGCAGGCGAGCCGCCCGGCCGTCACGTGACCAGACGCCTCCAAACTCTCCACATTCCAGCACAGTTTTCTGAAGCTCAGCGATCAATAAACTTCGCTTGAGGTGACTGTAGCCATATTAGTGCACTATTGCAACAACACGGTCCAGTCCTCTCAGTGAGACCTTTTTTTTTTTTTTTTTTTTCTTACTTGCACTCACAGCCAATTTTTCAAGACAAGCTTTTGAGGGTTTACAACCCCTTCCTTCTAAGCTCCAAGAAGTACTGAGACACAAAGGGTTATTTTTCAGAGATCAGTCTCCTACAGTTTTCTTAACGTTTTGCTAATTTTTGTGTATCGGACCCTAGAAGAAGCGGGTAGGCCCCGAAAACATTAAAAAATTTTGCAAAAAAAAAAAAGGAAGTATAACGGACATTACCCAACTCTGTCGCTATAAACTTTGCTTGTAACACCACCCCTGCCCC